CACTGACTAATTTTTCTATATCAGGTTGTATACTTGTATATCTAAGTCGATGAAATCCTTGGAGAGTGTTTTAAGTGAATGTCAGTAAACCGAGCTCTATTTTTAGATTTTACGATTTGCATTCATAAAAAAAATATGCTGTACCAATTTTATCAAAACAGAAAAGATAATGCTATATTTCAAATGTGATCACAGGTCAAAAATCCTTGATCTAGTGTATAATTTACTCCTGCCTTGAATATAGATTTTATACGACGTCTAAACGAACATCATAAAACAATACAAAAATTGCATTATGTGTATTTTTTTTCATAATCCTCAAAATAACACTTAATTACTCTTTAAAATTCTGATAATTACATCAACATTTTAATAATGAATAATGCCAACCAGTTTTTTTATACTTACTATATATCATTAAGTAGTTAAGAAATATGTTTAAAAAAGAAGCTATTAGTCAGTTTCGTACTTTGTAAATTAATATAATTAATAGATTATAAAGATAATACTTAATAAAATCAAAAAGTACTTTATTACAATAAACCGGACAAAAAAAGATTGTAAACAAGTTAATAAGAAATGTATTGATTTTATAATTATGTGGGTCTTTATTTTTTGTGGTTAGTATTGCAGTAGATATTTTTATTTTTTTTTTTAATGGAGGAAATACTCCATATTTATAAACCACAAATTAAGTACATACCATATAATATTATTATAATAAAATATGTGATTTTAGTAGGGTATATTTTCAATAGTTTTCTAGAAAATTGCAAAAAAACTAAGGAACCTAKACAAATTGAAGCTATATAATTTATGTAAGCTATGTGCAAGTTTTTTTTGAATGTTTGGTTTTCATATGTCGTAGGCTAAGCTGTTGTCTAGTAAACTATTTTTATAGTCATAATCTAATCTTTAAATGTTAAAAGTTAATAAAAAAATAAACAATGGACAATTTATGCTTCMGAATAATTTACATTTCTATGATATCAATATAAATTGGGATATAGTATTTATCAATTTTTTGTACGTATTTATATTATCATTTCGATATTTTTATCATACCTCAAGTAAGCGTCAAGAATAAATAATATATTAAAATGTTTAGTTTAATTACATACTGATTATCAAATAACATTGATAATTTAATTTTTAACATAGGTAATACTCAACTAAATTTAAATATTTTCACGATTTCGTGAATATTTCGTTGTAATTGTTTCAAAAATAATGACCACGGCATTATTCGATGGAGATGTGGTTAAATAGGGTTTAGGATATGAAAAATTGTTGCTGGGGGAGTAATAATACGGTTGCATTCATAAACGAGCCATTTACAAAACTGTCAAGAACCGAATTAAATAATAAAATATAATTTTACGGTTTTAGTGAATTTATGAAGGTTGTTGAAAATTGAAAATCAATAATCTACATAATTATAACCGAAATGTAAAGCAATGTACCCAAAATTAATGACTTTTATTAAACTATTATAATCGCTTTACATTATTATAGATATTTAATCACGAACCAGACGAACCACATTATACGCATTTGACCGTGTTGAAACCTAAAGTTCAACAAATCCTATTATATGCCTAGTATTTAGTAAGCTTTAAAATCAACCTTATTAGTGTACATCATTAGCATGGAACCTACATTTATGATAACACATTTTGAATTTATATTGTTAGAATTAAAGATATTATGGTGGTATAGCAAAGAAAAAGAAATATAGAATACATAAATTCGACATGGATAAGGTTGTTGAACGAGTTGAACAATTTGAACCCTTTTCACTTCAATCATCTTGGTACAAGACAGTGTCTTATTATTTTTATATAATTTTAAATAATTGATAAATAATAGCATATAAAAACAAATTTGTATTAATTATTGTTATTTGGTACCACAATAGACCTATATTATTAATAGTTTTATGTTCAGCACATATTGAGTGCTTATAAATATCTATATTTGTTTGAAACAAATTGTTTCAAAATATGTATTAAAACGAAAATTAATTTGTAGAAGTATAAACTATACTTTTAAAAGGTAGTGTGTAATTGTAGGTGAGGAATATACTTGCTCCATCTAGTGATTAAATAACATTTTCTCCGTACACGCAGATATATTCTCAAAATAACGTTTTTAAATTGTTTTATTACTTTACATGGGCACTGAACATTCAAGCTTTAACATTTTAAATGGCAATTTAATTAAATACACTAAATGTTTTAAACCAAAATCAACTTAATAAATGTAACAAAAAAACAGAAACTAATAATTTTTAAGTGAATGTTTTCATAAATTTAAAAATTAATATACAAACATAATGGCTTCATAACGTTTTTTAAAAAACACCACATAATATTATCCTTCAAAAAATGTGGGCAACATACCAACTACTAAGTGTTGTTGATATTTAACATTCAGTGATGCTACAAATATAATAGTCTTTATCTTAAAATTTGTCACTATCTGCCGATAACCTTTACAATAAAAGTATATTGTATATAACAGTGCCGGATAGACAAGGTATCGGCCCACCGAGTTTTAGTTTTTTAATCGGCCCTAAAAGAGGCCTTTTTTAAACAAAAATGTATACATTTATCTAGATTTTACGTAGCGCACAGAGTTGCCCTCGTATATAACTATAAATATATACTCAATCTCAATGATGATACACACGTTTAAAACTATGAGTAGAATATTTAATAGACAATTTAATCGCACGTTTCAGTATTATCTCATAAATGTTTATTTTTTAATGTTAATTATTAAAAAACAGTGAAACACAACATGAGAGACTTGTCCAAAGTTCAAACAATTATGACTTAAATGTTTCCAGATTTAAAAAAATGAACAGTTCCAAACATACATCTTTCGCTTACAAGACCATTTAATTGCACAGTTTCTTAGGGTTTGCAATACTATAATTTTACTGTACTGTCGTGTCCTAAGCTCAAAAATCATCGACACACACAGTTATTTTAAAATGTTATTAATTTTATAATTTTAGCATACCTTTTTTAGTTTTTTGTATTTGTTTACTAAAGAACTATARAAGTGAAAAAAAAGTGAACTAATGTATATAAATTTTGTGAAGTAAAAATATTCAGCATATACCTAAACTCTTAAGTATAAATAAAATAATAATAATATTTACATAAATTATAAATATACAATACCTCAATACAAGGAACATCTGTTTGTTCAAAATCAAAAGTTCCAACTATATCTTCACCAAGTCTGTAAGCTTGTTTGAATAAACAAAATCGAGCTACTTTACCTCGAGAGTTTGTTATATTGTAAAAATTGGGACTTCGTTTAGCAGTTATATTCTACAATAATTCRAATAAATAGTAAAATAGTACAATGTTAATCATAAAAAAATACTCATTTCTGTTTTATATTTTGTTTTAATTATTGTTACTTTCAATCATTTTATTTAATTTTAGTTTTAATACATACTTGAAGCATTTGTAGAGCCATGTCACATTCTTCATGCTTATATTGAGAATCTAAAAATGGATTACTAGGAGATAAATCAATACTATTCTCACATGTCACTCCTTCAGTAAGTCCTATAACATAAATATAGAAATTTTAAAAAGTCATATACAAATAATTGCTTAATAAAAATTACCATATATAACTACAACACGTATTGGTACTCTTAACAATTTAATTGGACTGTTTAAACGTTGCATACCAACAGTAATTTTGTAAGCATATTTAACTAAATGTCCTTTATATGATGGTGGTGCATCATTAGGCAATGTATCACTGTATAAATCTAAAAAACATATAAGTGTTAAACAATGGTTCTTTTAAATACATTTTGTTTAACCTAACTTTTCTATAGTGTATGTATTCAACACTAATATACTCTGTTTATTAGAGTAAAATTAAAAATATATTAGGTAAATATAGATATTGTATTCAAAATAGTCAAATAAAATAATATTTGTAATTTGGAAAATAGGTCATAGATCTTGAATTACATCAACTGAAATCATTAGTTCAATGATTGAATTTGTATATTAATTTAATACTTACATGATTTACTTTCGCCAGGAGATAGTCCGACATCACAAAATAAAATTTTTGGTTTTGTAGATAAAACAACATGACCATTATCTGTCAAACACGGCGCAAATGAAGTTTCTGAATTTCCTAAAAATTTTTCATCTTTGGTAACACACATTACTGATGGAAAATTAATGTTGTCGTTGGTTAAACACAAACAATTGATTTGCACACTGGCCCATGCTAAGTTTTCTAAAACATCACTGGAATTACAAAAAAAAAAAAATGTGTCATATTATATTGAGTCAAATAAACTAATTCAACTATATTATTCATTTAAGTAAATATTTATTAAGTATTATTTAAGTGCCTAAAATGTATTTAAGTGAATTAGAATAGCTATAAAACAATATTAAATTAAATGTTTATACCATATTATGTTATAGGTTTTCCTAGAAATGTAAATAATTACCTATTACTCTGGCTTCGAGAATCTGATGGTAATGGTGGATGAGTAAATGTTATACAGCAACCAATTTTACTACCTGGCATAAATATAGGACCACCAATAAGTTTGGCTGATACCTCAATCATTACACTGTCTTGTACTGGATTGAATAWGGTAAAATAAATTAAAGTTGTACCAAAACCTTAAGTGATAACTGTACTTATAACGTCATGAGAATACAACAGATCATTTGAAATGCTAAATAATTATAATTGTGGACTTGTCATTTTGGAAAAAAAACTTAATAATTATAATCCATTAATGCCATTAATACGTATCTTATTAGTTATTATTATTAAATACATTGAAATTTAAAACATTTTGCTGTCACAAATTTACACTCACATAATATTGTTCTGTGATAATATTTATCATTTTATATATTATCAATCTTTTATTTTTGTTGATACCAGTTATCAGAAACTTGGATTACCCCGAATGGTGTAACTGATTTGTGAATTCCACTACCGTATACAACTATAATTCTATTCTAGTCTCAGTAGTCTCTCATTCTTTGCTTTCCACTTTCCAGAAAGCCTAAAGATCTAAACTATTAACTGAGTGATTTTATTCTAAATGTATATGTATTCAAATTGAATAACAAAGTGGTATTTGAATTCCTGTTGTTGTTAGTTAAATTTATTGAGATATTTTATAAATTTGATATTGTAAAATTTTAAGTATGTTAAGTCTAGGTAAATGTTTTTGTGGTATAGGTACAAAGATGAGTCCTAATTTTGCAATTGGAAAAGTAATGTTGTCATGTAAAATGTAATATATCTATTGTTTGGTTTAAGAAACATTATCATTTATATGTTGTAGAGCTTGCTATTAAGATCCAAACAATTATCTATCACTCGTCAACCATTCATTCATAATACATCAATATCATCAAATTTGAATGTAAGTAGTATTGTGGTAACTATGCATTTCTTTAATAAACTTATAATCTTTGAGTAGGATGAAGATTAACTGTATTAATGTAATGTCGTTAAAATTCTAATACRAAATTATTTATTATTATTTTTTACATTACAGTTGAATGTGTGGAAAAAATCTTTTAGTAATGTTCATAAAGTAGAAACCGATCCAAAATATGTTGGTTATTGGTTTCTTGGTTGCAGTGGAATGGTTTTTGTAGCTGTTGCATTGGGTGGAATCACCAGGCTGACAGAGTCGGGACTATCTATGGTTAGTTGGAAACTTTTAGGTGAAAAATTGCCTTCTACTCAGACTCAGTGGTTGGAAGAATTCAATAAATATCAACAATATCCTGAATTTAAGATGTCAGTTAATGGCTTCAAACTATTTGATACAAATTTGATTCTAAAATTTATTTTAGGAAAAATTCTACTATGACTATTGAAGAGTTCAAATGGATATGGTGGATGGAGTATGCACATAGGACTTGGGGTCGATGCATAGGTGCTGCATTTTTGATTCCTATGGCTGGTTTCTGGTTAACTCRTAAATTCAGTCGTACTACTAAAATTCATTCCATGATTTGTGCTGTATTGTTAGCAGGACAAGTATGAAATTAATTCACTATTTTATGAATTTTCAAATTTTATCAAATTTAAACTAGTGTTGAGTGTTAAATTTTAAATGTATTTATCAAAATGAGCTTAAAAACCATAAAACAAATAAAATCTAATATTTGAAATTGCAATAAAATGCTAAAAATAAAAAATAAAAACTTTTCATCTTCRTTGTGTACTTAGAATGCTTTTAAATAGTAGCTAGTAGCATCATATTCAAATATTTAAATAATTCCCATCACTAATTTAAACATGATATGTATATAATTTTAGAAATTTCTAGACTGACCATCCATGTATTCGTATAATATTAAATGTATTGAAAGATTTTATAACTAGATTATTGTTTATCTCAATAATCAAGGCATATTAATTTGTKTTAATTTTGTAAAATTTGTGGTTGAACGGTTTTAAAACTATAATTGATTATAAAGAAATAATCATTAAATTTTTTTTTTTTTTTTTTTTATTTTAGAACCATCAGCTTAAACTATTACAGTTCGACAATTACATAATAATCATTAAATATTATCATTTACTTATTAGGTGCTACAATAAAAAATAAGGTAAATCTTCTATAAGGAGGTTAAAAATGTTACAATTGTAGCTGTAAGAAAAGACAATATTATTTTATAAGAACATATATGCTTAGTGTTTAAATAAACTATTATCTATTATAAGTTATAGTTGTTGAATTTAAAAAATATATCAGAAGTAATAAGTTATAACTTATAAGTAACTTATAAATATATATTTTTTAGGCTCATAAACCAGATTTTTTTCATTTTACCTGATTAATTACAAAAATTTGTTAAGTACTTATTGGTTTTTGATTATTTATTCTTTATTTTAGGGTTTGATGGGATGGTATATGGTTAAATCTGGTCTAGAAGATAGATTTGACAAGCCCGCAGATGTTCCGAGAGTTTCACAGTATAGATTAGCTTCCCATCTGGGTTTAGCATTTGTATTGTATTCATTTCTTTTAACAAACTCGTTACGCATCCTCCTACCAGTTACAGCAACTGGATTTGTTACTAAAAAGTTTGTGGGACTGGCAATGGCAGCTAAAGGATTAGTCTTTTTAACCGCTATGTCTGGTATGTTTAATGAATAATTTAAACTCTGGAAACATATTAATTGATTTAAAAATTCATTTTCTTATTCATACAACAATTAGGTGCATTTGTTGCCGGATTAGATGCTGGATTGGTTTATAATTCTTTTCCAAAAATGGGTGACAAATGGATACCAGATGATATATTGCAAATGGAACCCACACTTAGCAACATCACAGAAAATCCTACCACAGTGCAATTTGACCACAGAATATTGGTAACTTATTACATACTTAATGAAAAAAATAATATCTTATTTTAATATCATCTTGTAGGGAATAAGTACTGTTTCAATTCTATCAGCTTTATATATTATGTCTCGAAAAAGTAAGCTGCCTCCAAGAGCTAAAGCTGCTGCCACTGCTTTAGCAGCATTTTCATGGTGCCAAGTAATTATTAACTGAACATTTTTTAAGTTATATAAACATATTATAAYTTTTTTGATTAAAATTGTTTATCTTAGATGGGATTAGGAATTTCTACACTTCTTACTTATGTTCCGGTTTCACTAGCTGCTGCTCATCAGTCAGGATCACTTACATTACTTTCACTTGCTCTATGGCTTGTTCACGAACTTAAAACACTACCTAAAGTATAAATATTAGATTAAGTTTAGTATAATTCGAGATTAAAATAAATAAAGTATTTATAAATGATTAAATAATTGTTTTTATAAAATTATTTATCACTTATCGGTTACAGTATCTACAGTGTTTGTTTCAAATACAATTATGTTTGTTCATAGAAATATAATTGTTTTATGATACTTGATCTTTAAAAAAGATACACATATAGTATTTAATAGTTTTTTTTAAAGATTAAAAATTTTTTGTGGAAAAACAAACAGATATACAGAACGTATTTATTGAAAATTAGGAGATGTGCATGTTTGTAATTGTAAACATAGATCCCATATTATTATTTCTTAAGATTTGATAAAATTAAGTTGTTAGGTGATAAAAAAGATTWAAAAAAAAACTATATAATAATAAGTAGTGATCAAACAAATRTATTTTTATTTCATGTAACTTTGGAAATATAAACAATTTAAATAATAATAAATGTTTTAATTCTTAAAAACAATTTTACTTARTATTTTTTAATTTAAAATATAAAAATAAATAAAATGGGAAAGGTAAGAAATTATAACTATTAAAAATATTATTAGTATGTATTAAAGAATAACCTTTAGAAAAAAGGCGCAACAAATAAATCTAAAAAGGCACAACTTGTAAAACCAAAAGTAGATGAACCAGAACTATCACCACCACAAACATCACCACCACCTCCATCGCAAGGTGAGTTCATATGGATTCATATTGGACAAGCTGGTGTTCAAATTGGATTAGCATGTTGGGAATTATTTTGTCTTGAACATGGAATTAATCTAGATGGATCAGTTAGAGAATTAACAACGAGCTCTACATCAATGTTTTCTTTGTCGCAAGACAACTCCTATGTCCCTAGGGCTCTGATTGTAGACACCGAACCTTCAGTTATAGGTTTGTAAATAATTAAATAATGGAAGATTCTGATACAGTTTCAATAGAGTTGTGTATTAATAAATTGGTTGATTTCAGATGTTTTGAAAAGTGGAAATTTCAAAAACTTATTTTCTTATGAGAATATGATATCTGGAAAAGAAAGTGCAGCGAGTAATTATGCTGTTGGTTTTTATGGAGTTGGCAAGAAACTTGCATCAAAAGTTATGGATCAATTGACACGGTTAGCTGAAGATTGTAATTCATTACAGGGTATTGCTGTCATTAGATCAATAAGTGGTGGTACTGGATCTGGAATGGGTTCACGGATCATCGAAACTATTAGAAATACTTACCCCAACAAAACAATTATTGACTTAAATGTTTGCTCTTCATCAGAAGTTTGTTTTCATTATCATCTAGAAAACAATATTTTTGTAAACATTATTGCATAATAGAACTTTTACAGTTTTCAAATATTATTGTGGAACCATATAATACTGCCTTGGCCACTCATCATGTTTTAGATGWAGTCAATTGTTCTTTGCTCTTTGATAACAAGTCAATCTATGATATATGTGGCTCTAAATTAGATTTGCCTAAACCTACTTATGCAAACATAAATAGTATTGTGGCACTAGTATGTATTATAATTTTGCAAATCAATTTCATTATTAAATATTACAATATTAGGTTACCTCAGGAATTACTTCATCTCTCCGGTTTGAAGGTTCAATGATGAGAAATATTTCAGAATTGTTAATGAATTTAATACCTCAGCCCCGATTGCATTTTCCACTGATTTCATATGCTCCCATCACAAATTGTACCAGAAGTATTTCATCAGCCAATACCCAGTCGGCTGTAATGAGCTTTGATAGTGATTATCAAATGATCAAAATTGACCCTAGGCTGGGCAAATATTTGTCAATATGTATGATGTTCCGGGGGAATTTAAACCCAACCAATATCAATACAACCATTGCTTTTCTTCAAAGAGAACAAACTATTCCTATAACGCATAATATGAACTCTCCAATATTCAAGGTTTGTGTAACCGATTTCAATGTGAATTGAATGTTTTAAATGTAAACTTATTTTTTAGTTTGGTCTATGCAATCTACATCCTATTGCAGTACCAGGTAGTGGAATCTTTGCGGCCTCTACAGCTACAACAACATTATGTAATAATACTATTATTAAACAGTATTGGATGAACACAATGAACAATTTCAATAAATTGTTAACCAAACGAGTGTTTTTACATCATTATACGGGAGAAGGGATGGATGAATCAACTTTTGATACAACTAATGGAAACATTGCAAAATTGATAGCAGAGTATGGAGAAATTGAAAATTCATAAAATTTGAWCAATGTTTTGTTTAATTAATACAATGTTTGTATGATATGTTGTAATTAATAAACTTATCTATCGCCTGATACTAAGTATATTTTTAATATAAATCCATTTTCMAAGTGTAATATTTATATGTTATTCAGAGCTTGAATAACAATTTAAACATTTTAAAACAACCAATGCACAATATAATTGGTATAAATAAATAAAATAATTATAATAGGTCAATTCACTCTAATACTAGGTATAATATTAAATCTTATCGGTTATTACACTCAGTTTGGTCAGTTAAACATAAATTTGCATGTTACAGTTGAGCCAGAGAAGGTAAAAAATCGATAGTGTGCTGACATTAGTTTGATATTATAAATAATATTTTAAATTAAATTATTACATTTGTATTTTCTTTTATTTTTTGACATGGTAAAAATACAATATTTACTTTTTTTATAAGTTCAGTCAACATATTATGACTGATAGTATTTAAGTTATCTGTAAAATCTATGTACCCACATCGAAATTGTACATCAATATAGATGTAATAAATAATTGAAAATAAAAAAAAAATTGTTAGTTAAATATATATATATTGTTAACTATACTTGAATAATATGAAAGATGTATTTTTTTTATAGTTATTTAAAATTCTATACCTCTTAAAGTTTAGCATATTAATTATATGAATGTACATAATAATATGACAATTGATGATTGATAACCAATATTGTTGTTATTAGTAATCACTGCAACTTTTGGTTAAATTTTTGGTTACCTATTACYTTTTTTTATGTACTCATTTTCACACGAATATTTTACTATGTAAATATTATGAAATTTCTAATCAAAAACAATATGTAAGGATTTTTGATAGATAGGTAACTATTATTTAGGCACTTAAAACATAAATACGTAATAATAATTTWAAAAAAAAATTGTTATTTTATTTTATTTTTATAAGTTGTTGCTATCTAAAGTTGTTTTTAAACAATATGTACTTGACAAATGTTTCTGAATAATCACAATACTCTAATAATATTACCTACTAGGTATTTAATTTGTAGATAAATTACTTGAGATAATACTATTTAAATRAATTTTATTAAATCTTTATAAATGTAAAAACTTGTGTTTTGACAGTTATGCGTATTACATGATATGAATACTCAGATTTACCGTTTATTTAAAATATTAATTGTAAAAATATTTTTTTTGTGTGTATTTCTAACTACAATAGTAGCAGGGTACGGGGTACCTACCTAACTAAATATATAGTAAATACTAATTTTTTATTTACCATCATAATCAGCGGACCACAGTGATTTAATATGGTAATTCTGAATTCTGAAAAGACTCATAGGTAGATAGGCAATTGTTACAAGTAATTTGAAATTAAGTTGCTGCCAACCTTACTTCTTGCTAGATCATTTTGAAGTAGGTGCCTACATTGGTGAATTGTTACACTTGACCTTTATTTTATTTTTGATGTTRCTCTTTTGACGAGGTTCAAGGAAAATTGKAAATTTGTTATCAGATAACTTGGCCCTGTTGGACCTGTCCTTGGCCAGTACACACTTATTTATCTGTTTGGTTGAGATTAATAAAGTTTTGTAYTGGTATWATTTACGTAAGTATTAGTAAATTAAGTAAAGTACTATTTGTTTTCCTTTCGTATTTGACGTCGATACCGACTTGATTAAAATTATATCTGAYTGAATTTTTAGGTAGGACATTCCAATATTCCAATAAGCATCAATGATTTGGTCTTTACAGTACCGTTGATCTGGTTCAAAATTCAAATAAAGTGCAACTCACTAGTAATAATAGTTAAGTAAATATCTATCTAATTATTTGTCAACCTACCCATTTAATTATATTAGAATGTATACTTTTTAAGTACCCAGTTAAGTATTATCTACGTTGCTGGGTATGAACGGATGTTTAATTTTACGAACTTAAAATATTAGGTTAGCATACCGATGGTTAACATACGCGTAACAAATATTATATAGCATACCTATACCTATATATTATATTTTATTTGAAAGAAATATGGGTTCAACAAATTTGGTTATTAGTCTGTCATTAATTTTCACATAGTATTTTTTCTTAAGATTAGATGTTACATTTTATATATTCATATAAGTAACTTATATTTCTAAGAAATTTAGAACTATATACCAAACTGTCTAAAGAAAAGATGATTTTATGCAAGACTATCACAATACCACATTTTTTGTTACCTAATGTTTATTTTTTGAAAATTAGTTATCCCCCTCCCATTAGTTGACCTCTGGATCCCTCTACAATCTAAATAAATATTAAATTGATGGGACAGAGTCCAAATCGTTTACAGTATTATATAATATTCATAATAATCAGAGTTAGACCAGATAATAAAATGATTTTCTGAATAGATATAATATCTCTACAATAGAAATTATACATTAGTATTATAGGTAGGTACAAAATTATACATTACACAGAATATAAAAATGTATTGTTCGTAATTGCTACCTAATTATTATTTTCTCAATTACCACAATATAGATAACTAAATTAGATTTATTTTTCATAGAGTCCAATCTTCTTACATTTAGCGGTTTTCGGGTCGTATTTTTCCTAACATATTTGAGAAATATAAAGTCCTTACTTCATTATTTAATGCCTCTGCCTTAAGTACCACTCGCGAGTTCAATATCCAACTCAATTGCTGTTCATGTCCGGCATTTACTCAAAACATTMTAAGCAAAAACTGGTAAGCCTCTTTCGTAGTTATATACCTRCATAGGCACCAGGAAGTAGGTTAAATTTGAATTCAATTACTTTAAAGACGAACTACAAATAACAATTCCGAGCGGATATGTAATGTCTGACTATATTTATGGATATTTTATAATTGATATATTTTATACTATTATACTTAGWCTATAAATACCTAATTAATTTTACTAATTAGTAATAAGATATATTTTTGCACATTAGATGGGTAGCTGGGTAGCTACTTAAGTGACGAATAACAAATTCCACGGAAACGTTTAAACTTAAGTTTGGACTTTTTATATTAACTTGATTTAAAATAAATAGATACAACAAGAACCAAGACCCTAGACTCTGGAGATAAATTAATAGTTTCTTGTGTATTTTTGCCCTGTGTCGAATGGTTTAATTGGTTTTTTGTTTATGTTAGCGTGATTTGAGTATATTTAAGCATACCTACCTATCGTAATAATATATAGATAAGACAATTAAGTTCCTTCTCAAACTTAGGTACAGGTGAATTATTTAAAGGATGGCCCATTTAATATTTAGGTGTTATTCCTGTTTAATTATATTTTTTGGTATAAATGTATAAAATATGTAGGTAATAAGTACATAATATTATCGACGAAACGGCGACCATTATATAATGTGTGAATTTATGTCACAACATCGTCAGGTGACTTACATATTAAATAAAGAAATTTGGTCCATTTGCTTACATACTTAATTAGCATATTTTTCTCTTTGGAAATATATGCAATAGCAGTATATCTACCTTTTATTGGAGCATAATAGTTTCCGTTTAAATTTGCAARCTGGGGTAACGTGCGGGGAAAAAATAGTAAATCGCAGGAAATTCAATTAAATTATCTCCGTGTATACTTACTTATCATAAGTAATTAAGTAAGAACCTACTCTCAATTCATATTATATTATGTAATTAATTTTAAGATGTTTAGTGGTTTATAGTGTTTTTATTTTTTTGAATCATTTATATTGCTTGAAGTTAATTATCCATTTTATGCAAAAATCAGAAAAAAATCATTTAGTAACAGAATTTTCGATTATTGATCTTATAATAATATTATTACTCTAATTATTAGTATTATTTTTTTTTATACTTTAATTAATTATTTAATTTTAGTCATTTTTGACATTCATTGTACAATATTTTTAAGCCTAGATAGTGGATACATATAATATTATATACCATATACGAGTAAACGCCACTTGTTTTTTAGGGACAATCGGATACGCGTGCCTTGTGGGTAAAATAATAGGTAGGCAGYCTAAGGTACAAAAGGTATAAGTTAAAAGTATACAATTTTTAGATTTTTACATTATCAATAAAATATAAAACGTTCTTCGAACATAATATTGATTATCATATTAATATGTAATTTTTTTTGTGTTAATTTTTAAATTAATTTTAAATTTTTAAATTTTTCCTTGTGTTAAATAATTACTAATGATCAATAAACAGTCATTATTATAGTAAATATAGAAATGAAAATTTCTAAGGTTTGGAATTTGTAGTATTTTAGTATATTATATTCTTATACCAATTTACCATCTAACTAAAACAAAAACCTCTAGACACATATTCTACTTATGTAACATAAGTAGAGAGTATGAAAGTATTCCCAGAGTTGTAGCTAAGTGGACAGAGCCCCCACATTTGACGTGCTTATTTTTAACCTATATTATAATACCTATWAAAATTATGCAATAAAAAGTATAACCGTAATTTTTTTTTGTTTTTGTTTCTGTTTGTTAATATAAAAGTGATTTCAATAAAATTACCTAAAAGATTAAGYGCAGAAAAAATTCTTCAGAAATTCCTCACTACTGCTGGACGTATCCTCGAAGTTGTAACGTTTTCGGTTGACGGTTACTAGCTAGAACGCTGTACGTCGATTAGCTACTATTATTATTAGCATAGTCGTTAAGTTAATTCTGTATCACCTGGAA